CTAAATTGAGCTTTCCATCCGTGTCCACCCCAACTTAAATATGTACAGAGAAGTAAATGTAGCCAGTGTAACAGCTACCACATCACCCATCAAGTACCAGTACTACTGCAACCACAACCACACCACCACCATCACAACAACAACAACAAAAACTGTCACTACAGTCTGTATAGGTCGGTGTAGAAAAGAGGAGTTAACGCCGTATGCTGTCGCCACGGACTATTTAGTTTGATTTTGCCCCGGACATAGGGAAAAAAATAACTTCATCACGTAACCAGTGATGGAACCACAGTGAAAAGTACACTATACTCACGAATAGCGGAGAAAAATACTCCGCACCTGTCATCTCTCCCTCTCCGAGGGAACGATTTTTAACTGACCTTGGCATCCGTGTCCACCCAAACTAAACTGGACTGTAAGCCGTCTTAGTTAACAGTTTCTGTCATCGCCGAATAGTTTTTGATCGAGAAGCGTCGCGGGGAGGCTAATTAGGACTTAACTAAAATCGGATGTCTTTGGGCGAAAGGCGCAGATATCGCAGCCTAGCTGTAAACCACAACACAGCGTGGCAACCACCCTTTTAGGGGGAAAAGAACAATTATCACCCAGCAGGTAATCGAACACCGGTCACCTGAGTGAAGGATGACAAACTTACAACTATACAACCGACGACTGAAGAGTTTAGGTCAGATATCGCAGCCTAGCTGTAAACCACAACACAGCGTGCCAACGGCCCTCTCGAGGGCGAACGAAGATTACCCGTGACATGACCATTGAGCATCACGTCGCCGCTGTCGCAGGCTACCTGTAAACCCCAAAACCTAAAAAGGCGTAGATTTCGCAGCCTAGCCATAAACCACAACACAACGTGCCAGCCGCCCAGTTTAGGGCTAAAAGTAAAAAAATCACCCAGAGGGGAATCAAACGCGGGTCACCTGCACGATAGGCAGAATAGCTACCAACTAAGCTACCAAACACTCAAACAAATAGTGAAAATGAAATTATATGATAATGCAAAGTTCAATAAGAGCTCAGCAGTCAAATATGGCCAATCACATAAAAACAAATCCATGCCGGCAACGGAACAAATAATGATTTGGCAGTTGCTGGAGCTGCGTCGTTTGTGGTTTGTGCGATTTTCTGACAAAAAATCACGCTTTGAGTCAAAGGCAGCGTTGTGTGCAAATTTGAAAGCAATCGGTTCAGTAGTTTCTGAGTTTTTAGCTTACATCATCAGAAAATTAACATTTTTATTAACATAGATTGAAAGACACATGCTTTTGTTAATTGCATCCCCTTACCTTACGCAGAAGGAGGTTATGAGAGAGAGAGAGAGAGAGAGAGAGAGAGAGAGAGAGAGAGAGAGAGGGAGAGAGAGAGAGGACGGGAGGGAGAGAGAGAGAGATTAGCCACAGTAAGCATACGTAATACATACAATATTAACAACAGCACAGACGGACATTGATTTTCACAAAGCCGCATCTATCATAAACGGGGAAGCACATTTATAGAAAACCAAACAATAAAACCTTTGCTTCTTGTAACAAGGAAAATGGTGAAAACATAACTATGTTGGCAAACATGGAGGAAATATAACAGGTTTTACATGGCAAATTTAAAAATTAACAATAGGCCATGTATATATACATATACATATATATATATATATATATATATATATATATATATATATATATATATATATATATATATATATATATATATGCTATTTTTTTTTTTTTAAACATTCTATATGTCACTATACATTAGCATTTCCCAAGCGTGCTAAGGCCTCCAATACAGCAGACTTCCCGATAAGCACGAGTAATAACAGCAACCCGATAAAAGTGCATGGACAACAACAACAGCAAAAGAAATAGGCAGGTACAGTGTCAGACAGATGCCGACAAGGGTACAGTATTTCGACATCGCTACAGGACAATCGTCGACAAGATTCGAGATACCAGCTAAGTGATTCTGTGTATTTGTGTAGTATTGTTTGATTTATGTATGCGCTGATAAAAGCTCCTAAGCTGCAACGTTCGCGTTTTGTTTGTGTTTGTTATATTCTGAATACATGCTGCAGGAGGTCGTGGATTATGGAGAGGCATGATCGCCCACGCCAGTCGGCAAGGCACCTGATGAGGATGACGATATTGTGAAGCTCGCTGATACACATTTCGTTCGGTTTTATCTCTTTTCTAGGATAATCGTCGGCCTCTGTGGCTTGGGCGTTGAGAACGCGCTTCGTAATGCCAGGGTGCCGGGTTCGATCCCAGCTGTAGGCGATTTTGCAGCATAACGTCTTGTGTTGGTTTCCACAGTGGTAATGAGAGCTGACCGTTGAGGGGCAATGACAAACTGCTGAGCGTAAGGTTTGCCTACAAAAACCACAAAAGCGACAGCGACACCCCCCTCCCCCACACACACACATACTAACATAACACTAACACACATACACTAACACATACACTAACACATACACTAACACATACACGTACACACACACAAATGTTGGGATTGGTTCTGCAACGTCCTGTAAAGGATACGCAACTAACTTAACAGGATTATCGCCCTCTCTGATCTAGTCTCCATTATGCCATTTAGCCCCAAACCGTCCAATTATTTATTTATCAGCGCATTGTCTTTTTTTTTGAGTCGCTCACTTTTTACGAGATAAGGCCCTGCACCCCCCCCCCCCCCCCCCCCAAATTTTTTTTAGGAGCTAAGACCCTCTGCCCCCTTTAAACCATGGATAGGAGTTATCTTTTTGAGTTTTTTGGTTATTCAAATCAGTAAACTCTGCAACATCCGACGCCGAATGTGAGAGAGGGGGAAGCCGGATAAGACAGTTCTATAAATAACACCACCCATATCTTTAAAAGATACTGCTTATACCAAACCCCGCTTCCATTGATTTTTTATGACTTCTTAATACATTTCGGTACTTTATAAATCTTTCTTATGTATTCTACTAACCTCAAGCAAGTTGATATGTTTAAGTACTTGGGTACCCTGATAACATCAGATGGAAGATGTATTAAGGACGTTAATTGTCGAATAGCTGAAGCAAAGGCAGTATTTTACAAAATGAAGAATATTTTATGCAATCTTTCTTTGTCAACTGAGACGAAAAAGAAAACTCATAAAAGCTACATAAATCCTATATTGATACACAGATATGAATCATGAACGGTTAGTAGATGAGTGAAAACTTATTTGGAAGCTGCGGAGGTGTGGTTTTATAGACGAATGATGAAAATACACTGGACAGATAAAAAGAGAAATGAAGACGTCATAGAAGAAACCCAACCCCCAAGAATGTTTGTGTATTCTAGACAAGGCAATAAGGTCTACTGTGTTCGTAAATTGTTGCTGTGATTGTTATTCGACATTTGCTTCGTTAATATAAATTTATGTAACCTATGGTACCATTTCAAAGGATTGAAATGAATTCTGTCCGTATTCCATAGTCGTGGATTTCAAGCTGTACGATAGACATGGCCAATGAGACACCTTTTTTGGGGGTGCCTAGTTGACCATGTATCTTAGTGCACTTGTATTCATGGCGAGGCGCAGACGCCGTCTGGAGGTGACAGGTTCAATTCCCGGCACGGTAACTATAGCTTTCGATTTTTATGTTGTCTAGTGTGTTCTTCTATCTTTCTACTTCTTTCTGTGAGTGCCGTTACAATACTTTCTGTTACTTGATTAATCCAAGAGAACTGATAGCCCACATCAGAAAGACAATCTAGGCTTTGGTCAATGCGATGAGAATGGGAAAACGAATACATCGGTGACAGCAGGAAAGTTGGAAGGAAGGAGAGGCAGAGGGAGACCGAGAGAACAGATGCTGGAAAGTTTGACATCATGGCATGGAGGATCATCAGTGTCAGAGCTGACTGAAAGTACACGAGACAGAAGATTGTGGATTATTAGTACCACCAATGCTACACGGCATGGAGTTTAACAAGAAGACTTGTTTTTCTATACGTTTGAAACGTTTATTAAAAAATTTTTTAAAAGGGTTAAATTATATCTAACTTATACTGCTAGAATAACAAAATTACATACACCATATATATATATATATATATATATACATATATATATATGTATGTATGTATATAAACATTCACGTAAAACGTAGTCTAACTTGTACAAATTATTTAAACTAAAAAAAAAAAAATGTTTATTGATAAGTAACTATTCAAATTTGAATAGGTCGGCCTGAGATAAAAGAAAGAAAAGCTAAGTTTTTAGTTTGTGGAAAAAAAAAAAATCATTGATAGATGACTGTTTTCCGGATTCTTCCCTTTTCCTCGACGCAAAAAGAAAAAAAAAAAAAAACAAGGTAAGTAAAGGGCTCAATTATGCCCAGGAAGACAGAGAAGGACTGGGTCCGAAGACAGTAGTTGGAGTCTCTAGAGCGGTCGAGTTTGACACATGTCAGTTTTTTTAATTTCTGCCAGGTCACGCCAAGGAAATGAGCAAGCTGATCGGTGTGCAGGTAAAGTTACTGTGGAAGGCAGACGAGCCATGGGTCATGCTGATATTCTGAATGCTCTACAAGAAGTAAGAAGTTTGAGAAAACCAAGTGATGACTGTGAATCTGCAACCATAAGCACACTGCAAGAAATGTTATGAGGGGAGTGGCCAGACAAGAGCGCTATGCAAGAAGCCAAAGAAGAATGAGAAATTAACACAGAACTGTTGTCGTGAACCGCTACACGACGCGGTATTTACTACGGAGGAGATCCGAGCATTTATTGACTGAGTGGTTCGATGTGCAGTGAGGATAATCTGTCGATTAACCAACTAACAAATGACCTGACTAACAGACGAACAAAAGGAAACCAGAGAACGGTCAGGCCTATTCAACTGGTGGTCCCCCAGGGCCATGTGGACGGCGGAAGCGTAGCAATTGGCCCGCGGATTATCTAAGTAAAGAAATAAATGTCCCTTTTTCACACCTTTCAGGTGTATTGGGTTTACAGGGCTAGACATATGTTTTAAAGACCAACGGCACAAGATGGCTACCTTTACTTCCCAGGACTGCACCTGGTACCCACTCAAGGCTAGGTCGACCTGGAAGCCAGTCATTTTTTTTAAGAAGAAAAAAAAAAAGGTCCGGTTTCGACCTTCCGATCTGAAATCAAGCATCTAGCTGCTACGCGAGGGCGACACCTTCGAAGACCACCTGCCAGTTGTAATGTAATAATGATCTTTCTCTGTGGAGTCTCAAGCCTCTGGGCTGCGATGATCCCTATTGCCCAACAATCTTGCCCCTGAGGAAACTAAACTCAGTGCAAATCTTCTTCTTCTTCTTCTTCTTCGCGTTCACCAGCTGTAAACTCCGGCGGAAAAGTTCTGGTTGTTCGTCCACTTCTGGACTGCAGTCCTGTTCCAGAACCTGAGTGTTGCATGTGCATCCGTTTGACAGATCTGTATGCAGACTGTTGGTTCCTTGTCTCTCAGGCAGATGCACTCCGACTTCGAAGGAAGCTCCAAATTATTCGACTCTTACGACATGCTTTTGGATAGGCAATGGGTCTATTCTTGTTTTTCCAATAGAAGGGCCCCGGAACCCACACGATGGTCAGTGCAAATGATAAGTGACGTCAAATGTTCTGTCCTGAAGTCCATCCGTGATATCGCAAGGATTGAACAGGATAGAATAGGACATCGGGAAGGCTAACCAGTTCTACAAATGCCTGAAGGAGTCGGATATGTTGGCAGAAAGGTGTAAATATCGCAGCCACGGTGTAAAAACAGGCGCACCACAATCACATCTTCAGTCATACCAGTGTGTTGGGAAACGAGCAAGCAGATTGACCGGCCAGTTATCATTCACTTGGGTGGTGAATTGATGTATGACAAGCTGAATGTTGTGAGGACCCTTTGGGACCGAGTGAACAATGTAGAGGCACGGACAGATCATTACGGTCTTAGGAGAATGACGCTGCGCTATATGGCTGTTGCCAGGGGATCTGGCCGACGCTCAACACTCAGGGGGAAGGCGAGACGGACATACAATCAGACAGTTACTGGTTCCATTTGAACTGGAACTCTTCGCTTGCTGCTGAAGCTGGGAACGGAGCGCTTATGACAGTGTCCAGAGTGCTGTGATGTCGATTCGTAATTCACCATTCAACATTCAATCTTCGGATGAATGCAGAAGAAGACGACGAAAAGAAGAAAAAGAGAGTGAAAGAAAAAAACTGCAAGCTCCAAGTGATGTAATACGGCACAACAGAATGTCGAAAACGATAATGACGACCACGATGATAAAGGCGATGATGATGACAAAGAGACAACACGGACCATGGTGACAAAAGACGACGCAAATTACCTGTTTACTGTAGACAGTCGTCGTGGTGGTGGCTGGCTCATAGGTAACATCCTCAAGAACTACATCTACAATGTAGGGGGTACTGACGTTCTGTGTCAGCACTGTCACAACTGCAGATAGTTAATACACACTCTCATTCGTCTAAATCCATTCCCATTAATCTAAAAACATTATCATTTTTCTGACGATTTTCGTATTGATCTAAAGCCGTTCTCATTAATCGAACTCCTGTCTCATTAATCTAATTACATTCTCGTTAATCTAAAACCGCTCTCATTAATCTAAACCACTCTCAATAATTAAAAAATTTTTCTCATTAATCCAATGAACCTTCTAATTAATCTTATAAAATTTCTAATTATTCTAAGACCATTATAATCATCCTCAGTAATCTAATATAATCGTAAGTATTCTTATATCATTTTCATTTACCTGTTTAATCCTTATTAATATAATATCATCATCATTATTCTAACATCATCCTCATTATTCTTATATTATTTTCAATAATATAAAGTTATCCTTTTTAATCTAACATCTCAATAATATAATATGATCAACATTATCCGAATATAATCCTCATTAGACTCATATCGTCTTCAGTATTCTAATATCACCCTCATTAGTCTAGTATTCATCCTCATTAGTCTAATATCATCCTCATTAGTCTAATATCATCCTCATTAGTCTAATATCACCCTCATTAGTCTAATATCATCCTCATTATTCTAATATCACCCTCATTAGTCTAGTATCATCCCCATTAGTCTAATATCATCCTCATTATTCTAATATCACCCTCATTAGTCTAGTATCATCCCCATTAGTCTAATATCATCCTCATTAGTCTAATATCATCCTCATTAGTCTAATATCACCCTCATTAGTCTAACATCATCCTCATTAGTCTAATATCATCCTCATTATTCTAATATCATCCTCATTATTCTAACATCATCCTCATTATTCTAATATCATCCTCATTAGTCTAATATCATCCTCATTATTCTAATATCATCCTCATTATTATAATATCACCCTCATTAGTCTAATATCATCCTCATTAGTCTAATATCACCCTCATTAGTCTAATATCATGATTATTCTAAAATCATTTTTATTAAACTGTCATTCTCTTTACCCTAATGTCATCCTCATTAATATAATATTTTGATTTATTTAATACCATCTAATTAATCTAATATCACGTTCAAATCTTTGCAGCTTTCCTTTATTATTGATATTGGCTACATTACATTGACAGCCACATTAGTGAAGCGGTTAAGACGATCGCATGGCGGTCCGTAGGACGTAGGTTGAAATCCGCATCGAGGTCATTTATTTATTTTCAAAACTGACCTTAGTTTCCGGGCTGAAACGTGTGGGGGACAAGAGATGGGACAGGATGTAGAATCTTGCCTCGTTTGTTTAGCCAAAGCCGTCTTCACTGCAGGCAGGGACACAGATGAGTATCATTTATTTTGTACATTAGAGTCCTATGTAGTCACTTCCTAGTTAGAGCATATTTATGTACGTGTACTGTGTTGTTCGTTATGTGCTGATGAAGGCTAATCACTGCAACGTCTTTTGTTTGTTTATTGTGATCGATTTTGTAAAGCTAAAATAAACTGTTTGTTCATTCTTGCCAACTTTTTCTCTTGCCTAAAATTTTCTACCCCTTTAAAAACTGCAGGATATGTAGCAGCTTTGGTCAGCTGGATTATGTGTTCTGTGCTAACATGATATGTAGCAGTTTTGGTCAGCTGGATTAAGTGTTCTGTGCCAACATAATATGTAGCAGTTTTGGTCAGCTGGATTAAGTGTTCTGTGCTAACATGATATGTAGCAGTTTTGGTCAGCTGGATTAAGTGTTCTGTGCTAACATGATATGTAGCAGTTTTGGTCAGCTGGATTAAGTGTTCTGTGCTAACATGATATGTAGCAGTTTTGGTCAGCTGGATTATGTGTTCTGTGCTAACATGATATGTAGCAGTTTTGGTGAGCTGGATTAAGTGTTCTGTGCTAACACGATATGTAGCAGTTTTGGTCAGCTGGATTATGTGTTCTGTGCTAACATGATATGTAGCAGTTTTGATCAGCTGGATTATGTGTGCTGTGCTAACATGATATGTAGCAGTTTTGGTCAGCTGGATTATGTGTGCTGTGCTAACATGATATGTAGCAGTTTTGGTCAGCTGGATTATGTGTTCTGTGCTAACATGATATGTAGCAGCTTTGGTCAGCTGGATTATGTGTTCTGTGCTAACATGATATGTAGCAGTTTTGGTCAGCTGGATTAAGTGTTCGTGCCAACATAATATGTAGCAGTTTTGGTCAGCTGGATTAAGTGTTCTGTGCTAACATGATATGTAGCAGTTTTGGTCAGCTGGATTAAGTGTTCTGTGCTAACATGATATGTAGCAGTTTTGGTCAGCTGGATTAAGTGTTCGTGCCAACATAATATGTAGCAGTTTTGGTCAGCTGGATTAAGTGTTCTGTGCTAACATGATATGTAGCAGTTTTGGTCAGCTGGATTAAGTGTTCTGTGCTAACATGATATGTAGTTTTCGGGCTGAAAGTGAGCTGCAGCTTTTTGTGTGTGTAGTTATCACGCTTTCTATTTATATTTTCTTGAGAAGTGTTGACTAATATTAACTATGCCATACAACTATACCGGGCATGGCTTTGCCATTACTCAATGCAGTAGGGTCTTGCCATAGGGCTCAAGGGGGAAAGGGGGGGGCTTGATGCGGTACTCAAGGGACCAGGATGGTTTGCCATATACTAAGGGGGCATGGGGGTTTTGAGGGAGCATGGTGGGTCTTGCCATATACTAAGGGGCGGGGGCTCTGGCCATATACTCAAGGGAGCATGGTGATCTGGCCATATACTCAAGGGGACGTGGTGGTCTTGCCATATACTAAGGGGCGGGGGCTTGGTGATCTGGCCATATACTCAAGGGAGCATGGTGGTCTTGCCATATACTAAGGGGCGGGGGCTTGGTGATCTGGCCATATACTCAAGGGAGCATGGTGATCTGGCCATATACTCAAGGGGGCGTGGTGGTCTTGCCATATACTAAGGGGCGGGGGCTTGGTGATCTGGCCATATACTCAGGGGGGGGGGGCCGTGGATGTCTGGCCATATACTCAAGGGGGAGTGAGGGTCTTGCCATATACTCAAGGGGGCGTTGAGGTCTTGCCATATAAACCAGGGAGCATGGGGGTCTTGCCATATACTCAAGGGAGGGGGGGGGGCGTTAGAGTCTTGCCACATACTCAAGGGAGTGTGTGGGTCTTAGAATATACTCAAGAGGGCATAGGTGTCCTGCCATATATTTAAGGGAGGGGGGGGGCGCAACCTGAGAAAGGCTGGAGGCCACTAATTAGCGCTTACGCTACTTTGAGGACAAAATGACGTTACCTAGTTACCACTTTGCTGGATAGACCTGGGCGCCAAGGTCATTTCTGAAAGAAAAAAAAAAGGCCACACCCGTGCGGATTTGAACCACGAACCTCATATTATTAGAAGAGCATCTAGCCGCTACACTGCAGCGGCTTCTTTTTCCCCCCTGGCCTATAAAACCCTTTAAAAAACAATTGTGCAAACATGAAAGTAACAACAGTATTTTCTTTTCTTATGAATTTAATCCGTTTTCTTCAGAGTTGTTTCCCTGCCTTGTCATGACAATGGGAGGACAAATCCCAAGAATTATAGTTCTCTTGCGTGTTCGCCTGAGCAGAACTGACATTTCATTCTGTCATTTACAACTTTTTGCACAAAATACCATTTATTATTGATGTTCGTGTTTTCATATCTATCTTATCGAACGTTTATTCAAAATGCTTCTTTTATCTTTTTTGCGTTCACCTTCGCTTTTAACTCTAGTGGAAATTTCTGGTTGTTCGTTTACTTCTGGACTGCAGTCCTGTTTCAGATCCTGAGTGTTGCGTGTGCATCCGTTCGACAGATCTGACTCATCAGTGTACACTCGGACAGATGCACTCCGACTTCGAAGGACTATTGATTCCAAATGATCAGGCTGTTAGAGGAACTCCCATAGCTACCTTACGCTGTTTATGAACTGCTACTACTGTATGTCTTGCTTTCTTCGTTTCTCTTATCTGTAATTTTAAAACTGTTTTAATTGTTGAGCCTTTATTAGGAATGTGAACCATTCTCTTTAACAGTATGGCTTCCGGAGCAAATCCTGGAGGGGATGAGGACAAATCCTCTACCCCTTTAACAAGCATGTCGTAAAAGGCGATAAATTACTGTTTGCTGAAATCAGACTATGGGACCAAAAGGCGCAGATATCGCAGCCTAGCTCAAAAACACAACAGAATGTGTTAGCTGCGATTTTAAGGGCTAAGGAGGAGGAGGAGCTACCTGTTGAACCACCACGCAGCACCTATACGACTCAGGGCTACCTGCTTAACCACACTGCGGCACGCTACGCTATTTGTTGAAGCACTCCGGGCTACCCCTACCCCACCATGCTTCCTGCAGAACCACCCCCCGACGGCCACGCCATACCCCATTACCCGCATCAACCGCACAGCCACATCACCAGCGGCATCCACACTACCTGCTAGCTATACTCACCACGCGACACTAATGCAACCCACTGCTTCTACACTAACCGCCGCACCCAAATCACCACGCGACAACCGCATCAAACGCAGCACCCACATCACCCCGCGGCCACCACATCACCAGCGGCATTCATACTTTCTGCTGCCCCATTATCGCAGCCTAGCTACTACTAAAAACATGATTCACCGGTACCTAATCCCGAGATACCACACTCGCACACTTTGACATAATTATCCCAGTCGTGAAACCTCGATGATCCATAAATCCCCTCAGCTGACACACCAGCACCACATCTTGACCCCACAAATTCCTTTTTTTTTTTTAAAAAATAAATAAAAGTTTAGCATCATATGTCTTAATTGTTTCTCTCTCTCTCTCTCTCTCTCTCTCTCTCTCTCTCTCGCTCTCTATATATATATATATATATATATATATATATATATATATATATATATATATATATATATATATATATATATACACACACACATCTTAAAGAGAAAAAAAAATTCGTTTAAAAAATGAGAACAGCTGAGGTAGCATTACTAAAAAATGAATAATTAAAAAACGAAAACTTTAAATTCATATTTTTAGCGAATGTTCATGTTTCTGTCATAACCCCTCCCCCTCCCCCACCCCGCCCAAACCACCTACTACTACACTATTCATCTCGGAAGGATGTAAAATTTATCACCTGCTGATTTTTAAACAAAAATTGATCTTGGCATCCGTGTTCACACAGACTTAAATGGGTAGCAGGAATTGTAATGAGAAGTAAATGCGGTCAGTGTAATATTTCCACACCACACATCTAGTACTACTATCACCACTACTACAACAACTATCCTAGAGATATGTGGTTCGCGCTTTGTGCGACACTCTTATATAAAAGCACGGGCCCATTTAAAGGCAATGTTGTGTCAAAATTTGAAACAATCCGCGAAGAACTTTCGGAGATTAGCAATGACTAACAAACGGACTTTTACACACACAAACACACACACACACACACACACACACACACACACACACACACACACACACACACAGAAATAGCATTTAGACCACAGCAAGCAGCAACCAGGCATTGCAGACTAACGCAGGCATTGCAGTAAACCTAAAGGTGCTGAAAGTGCTGAAGTTATAATCAAAACCTCGCTAATATACTACTACTGGCGGGGAATCGAAGGCAAGAGAGGACAGAGGGGGAGAGGAAGCTAACAGACACCCCACACACATACATACACACACAGAGAGAGAGAGAGAGAGAGAGAGAGAGAGAGAGAGAGAGAGAGAGAGAGAGAGAGAGATAAAGAGAGTCATGGTTATACAGACAGTCATACAGACAGTTCAACATACACTGCGTTTCTATGACTGTGTACTAACCTGTCTGAATGACAGTGCCCCAAGACGGAGTCCCAATCCTTTTGATGTATCGGAACGTGGAGTTGCCGAGACTGATCACCCCCAGTGTGTCGTTGGAGTGCACCCGGTATGAGCTGGCCTTTGTGATTGTAATATTGTCGTAGTCGAATGTTAATAAGTGCATTGTCTGTGGCAGAAAAAAACAAACATTGATTCATTATTAATTATAGTCATAATAAAAATAACAATAACAACACTAATATTATTATAGTAATAATAATAATAATACTAATAATAATAAAAATAATAATAATAATAGACACTTGAGATAGACGGGAGACGCCGTGGCATAGCGGCTAGGCGCTCGTGTGCGGATCGAGAGGTCGTGGGTTCGCTCCTTGGCAGAGCCGGACTTTTTTCAAAAATGACATTGACTAGCAGGTCGACCCAGCCTTGTGTGGGTACCGGGTGTAGTCCCGGGAAGTAAAGGCGGCCGGTGAGATGCTGACCACATCACCCTTCTTGTGCAGCATCACGCCGGCCTACGACAATTCACCTGCTTTGTGTATACAGTTTTTACTTCTCTGTCATCTGAAATTCTTTCAATATGCCCCAACCATTTTAGTCTATTATCTCTCATGATGCCAGTGATCAATGGTGATTTAAACAGATTATGAATTTCGTTGTTGCATCTCACTCTCTATTTCCCGCTGTTTGCATTTTTTTATGGGTCCAAAGATATATTTAAACTATAAAAACTATCACATCTGCAGCAGTCGCACATTAAGCATCAACCTGTGGGTCGTGACCTCTTTAGGGGTCAAACAACCCTTTTACAGAGGTCGCCTGAAACCATCGAAAAACTCATATTCACTAAAGTTATAAAGTAGTAACGACAAAAGTTGTAGGGCTGGGAGTCACCACAACACTTTGAACTGTATTAAAGAGTCACCACAACACGAGGAACTGTATTAAAGAGTCACCACAACACTAGGAACTGTATTAAAGAGTCACCACGACACGAGGAACTGTATTAAAGAGTCACCACAACACGAGGAACTGTATTAAAGAGTCACCACAACACGAGGAACTGTATTAAAGAGTCACCACAACATTTTGAACTGTATTAAAGAGTCACCACAACACTAGGAACTGTATTAAAGAGTCACCACAACACTAGGAACTGTATTAAAGAGTCACCAAAACACTAGGAACTGTATTAAAGAGTCACCACAACACTAGGAACTGTATTAAAGAGTCACCACAACACTAGGAACTGTATTAAAGAGTCACCACAACACTAGGAACTGTATTAAAGAGTCACCACAACACTAGGAACTGTATTAAAGAGTCACCACAACACGAGGAACTGTATTAAAGAGTCACCACAACACTAGGAACTGTATTAAAGAGTCACCACAACACTAGGAACTGTATTAAAGAGTCACCACAACACTAGGAACTGTATTAAAGAGTCACCACAACACTAGGAACTGTATTAAAGAGTCACCACAACACGAGGAACTGTATTAAAGAGTCACTACAACAGAGGAACTGTATTAAAGAGTCACCACAACACTTTGAACTGTATTAAAGAGTCACCACAACACTAGGAACTGTATTAAAGAGTCACCACAACACTAGGAACTGTATTAAAGAGTCGCCACAACACTAGGAACTGTATTAAAGAGTCACCACAACACTAGGAACTGTATTAAAGAGTCACCGCAACACTGGGAACCGAATTAAAGAGTCACCACAACACTAGGAACCGAATTAAAGAGTCACCACAACACTAGGAACTGTATTAAAGAGTCACCACAACACTAGGAACTGTATTAAAGAGTCACCACAACACTAGGAACTGTATTAAAGAGTCACCACAACACTAGGAACTGTATTAAAGAGTCACCACAACACTAGGAACTGTATTAAAGAGTCACCACAACACGAGGAACTGTATTAAAGAGTCACCACAACACGAGGAACTGTATTAAAGAGTCAACACAACACGAGGAACTGTATTAAAGAGTCACCACAACAGAGGAACTGTATTAAAGAGTCACCACAACAGAGGAACTGTATTAAAGAGTCACCACAACACGAGGAACTGTATTAAAGAGTCACCACAACACAAGGAACTGTATTAAAGATTCACCACAACACTAGGAACTGTATTAAAGAGTCGCCACAACACAAGGAACTGTATTAAAGAGTCACCACAACACAAGGAACTGTATTAAAGATTCACCACAACAATAGGAACTGTATTAAAGAGTCACCACAACACTAGGAACTGTATTAAAGAGTCACCACAACACAAGGAACTGTATTAAAGAGTCACCACAACACAAGGAACTGTATTAAAGATTCACCACAACACTAGGAACTGTATTAAAGAGTCACTACAACACTAGGAACTGTATTAAAGAGTCACCACAACACTAGGAACTGTATTAAAGATTCACCACAACACTAGGAACTGTATTAAAGAGTCACCACAACACAAGGAACTGTATTAAAGAGTCATCACAACACAAGGAACTGTATTAAAGATTCACCACAACATTAGGAACTGTATTAAAGAGTCACCACAACACGAGGAACTGTATTAAAGAGTCACCACAACACGAGGAACTGTATTAAAGAGTCACCACAACACTAGGAACTGTATTAAAGAGTCACCACAACACGAGGAACTGTATTAAAGAGTCACCACAACACGAGGAACTGTATTAAAGAGTCACCACAACACTAGGAACTGTATTAAAGAGTCACCACAACACGAGGAACTGTATTAAAGAGTCACCACAACACGAGGAACTGTATTAAAGAGTCACCACAACACTAGGAACTGTATTAAAGAGTCGCGGTATTAGAAAGTGTGAGAACCACTAGGCTCATATTTGTATTGACCAGAGCTTTTTAACTAAGCTCATTCAGGGGTCAAACAGTTCACATATCCTGGCAGTGTTTAACTAAGCTCATTCAGGGGTCAAACAGTTCACATATCCTGGCAGTGTTTAACTAAGCTCATTCAGGGGTCAAACAGTTCACATATCCTGGCAGTGTTTAACTAAGCTCATTCAGGGGTCAAACAGTTCACATATCCTGGCAGTGTTTAACTAAGCTCATTCAGGGGTCAAACTGTTCACATATCCTGGCAGTGTTTAACTAAGCTCATTCAGGGGTCAAACTGTTCACATATCCTGGCAGTGTTTAACTAAGCTCATTCAGGGGTCAAACAGTTCACATATCCTGGCAGTGTGGTGTCCGTACTGAGAGGGACAAAGGAAGACACACAGTCACGCCTGAACAAAGCTAGAGCTGCTTTTGGAAGGATAAGGCAAATACGGAAATGTAACAGTGTTACTGCAGAAAAACGAAACGCCGACTCTACAAGAGCATCATTTTGCCAGTTCTTCTTTATAGAGCAGAATGCTGGAGAATGAACAAAAAGGATGCACACAAGCTCTCCACCTTCTACCAAACATGTCTGCGCAGAATAATGAAAATTTTCTGGCCAGATACAATCTGAAACACTAAACTACTTTCAGTCACAAACCAAGAAACTTTAGACAGTAGGATATTCAAGAGAAGACGGAAATGGCTTGGCCACGTTATGAGAATGAATCATGATTTACCTGCCAAAACAGCTCTCTTTGACACTAGAGGGAACGAGAAAGAAGGGGCACCTAAAAAGCAACATGGAGACGAACGATGGAAGGTGAACTGGGTGCGGCATCTGTGACTTTGAACACTGCACTGAAGATTGCACAGAACAGGAAGGCATGGAATGTCCTTTCTGAGGCCTCATGTGCCACTAGGCATTAAAAAAAATTGATGATGATGATGACGAACCAAGGACCAAAATGCTCAAAACTGGGATCGTCACGGGCCGGAGGGCCCAGCTCCAGCATAGAGACATCTTCAAAACAAACAACTGTCAATGATCCGCGGGCCACTTGCCAGCCACCGCGGACCAGATCTGGCCCACAGCCAACACCAGTTAAACAGCCCTGGGAGAGAGCAATGGGTAGCTGGTGTGGTAACATAATGCCGGCTACCTTTACTTCCCATGACATTATCTGGCACCAATTTCAGGCTGGGCTGACCTCGGGGTAAAGATTGGTTATGAATTATACCCACTCGATACGGATTCAACCCACAGACCTTCGGATCAGCAGTACAACATCCCGCTACTCCGCGGCTCCTTTATAACACACGAACATTTCTTAGCTGTCTTGTCTGCGTTATTTCTGTAAATTGATTTTTAACCAGAATGTGATGCTTACAGGATGTCTTTAATCATGCTCCATTTTTCTGATGAATTACTAACACAATGAATAAAACATACCCACGCAAAAATCACTGGCATATCCAGGGCTGTCGAAGTTGGTACTTCGGTATACAATATTTGCCATTGCCTGACTGACAACCCAACCAGGACCGCACAACGAGCGATCAACGCCCGGTGACACAAAGTGCCACCAATCGGATGATAATCACCGGGGTACAAGTCCGAGAAGTCCCGTTGATCCGTTAGGTTATATTATTGCCAACGACTGCAGACTGAATGGGGCTCTAAAAAATAACAATTGCGTTCTTTTGTTGGGACGCAGAAAAAGATTCCCTTGACTAAGACAACTGTACTTTTGATATCACGCCCGATGTCCTTTTATTTTACGTTTTACAAATTTGCATCAACAGGTTACATTTTGGCTTATTAAGGTTAGTTGCGTATCCTTTGCAGGACGTTGCAGAACCAACCCCATAATTTTTTGGCTGTTGTGGATTTTTTAGGCAAACTCACGCCCAGTAGTTTGCCATTGCTTACTGGGCGATCGGCTTCTCGATACCACTGTCAAAACCAACGCAAGGGGCAAGGCCCGCAGCTGGGATTTAACCCGGCACCCCAGCATTACAAAGCTCGTTCGCAACGCCTGACTAAAGGTGTACTGAAAAATTGTTCTTCTTAAAAGACTTCAACAATAAATCCACCGAAGAGTTCCACATGACCGTTTCAGGACATGAACTGTACCAACTGGAAACAATCAAAACAGCTTTGTGACGAACTAAGCAAACTGAATGGTAAAGGGATAATGTAATCTTTAACATCGCCTCACAACATTGCGTGGCGTTGGGTCACCAGCTGTTATTGACTGTCTGATCAGCTCTCTCCACCTT